TGACCTTTTGGAGCGATCCACTCTAGAACAGCACCCTTCAGGCTCTTGGTATCATCGCCTCGAGCACCTGAGGCACCCTTTCAAAGCTTTAGAACATCATTATTGATCAAGGAAGAAGGCCAATTGAATGGACACACAACTTACAAGCTCTGCCACAATTCCTGCTTCATTGTCGGAACCAGCTACCAATCACTCCTCCAGACCTGGAACTGACTCGAGCAAAGTCAAAAATATCTTGTGCTCGTGCCTCTCCCTGTATCGCAGAGTGAATGCGGATTCAATGGACCAAGATGAATGTCATTACTCGGCGCTGAAAGATTCCTCTGGCCGATCCACCAACTCTCCTAGTCTTAGTATTCTGTTATTGATGATTGCGTGGATATTGCACAAGGCGTGGACTGTTCGTCCAAAATGGCGTCCATAATGAACAAGGGGGTCTGCCCCACTCCTAGAGGAAACCATATTCAAAATTCTCACTTGTTCAAATTGAGATAGGGCAGGCTGACAGTTTCTTTCTAGGACCCAATTGGAGAGCGTATGGCCGATCTTCTGCTGAAAAGGTTGCTGGGGTAGACATTGTGAGGGGCCAAATTGTGCAAAGGTGGGAACTTAAAACCCCTGCGCACCACTTCGCACTTTATAGAGATTCAATGACACAAAATGACTACATACTACGGTTCAAATCAATCAAAATGCTGCGCAGGAACAACTGCGGTTCGAACAAATCCCATTCAATGGAGACTGAGTCAGCCAATACTAGTGGACGCGACTGGTTAATTCTGCTTGACCAATACTTTGTTCGGGACTGTCTGCCACAATTCCAGACAAAACGGCAAAGCTATATTAACTATTATCAGCGAAATCGAAACTGAGAGAACGAGTAGCAATATCACATTGAGCTAGGGGAGGGTGGTCCAGATAAGCTCTGAGGAGATCGTGGCAAGGGAACCCATTGATTGATTTCTTCGAGTGTCATGCCATTTGAAATTCGATACTACAATAGGTGGGGACGGTAGTTTTCGTTACCTCTCCACCTGTTATATTGATGGAACAATGTTCACGTACTCCATAGGCTCTTCCGATGTTGGCATAACTGACAATGATGGTGGCTTGTACAGTAGGTGAGTGAAGATCATAAACGATGATATGTGGACTTCTAGTTTTGAATTGACGATCCAGTCGGGGGAACATTTGAGACTGATATTGGCAAAAGAAGAGGATGATGGTACTTGAGCAAAGGGTGACGTCTCTCCGACTGCAATGAGCGACATCTTGTTTATCTGACGTACTGCGGCGACCAAAAGTTTGCTGCATCGACTCCAAGTCAAGCCTCCTGTCAGTTTCCAGTTCGAAACCGCCAGGAAGAGCAGTTCAGAACTGCCGCTAGCACAGCCTAAGTAAATTAAAATTTTAATTGTTGAAGTTAAAGATGATGATAAGAAAGAGAGCACACGAACATTGTTCATCGGGATTCTTCAACTTGCGAGGCTATCCAGGGCGCTGAATAATACTGCAACAATCGTAAAGGGAAAAAGAGGCTACTAAAGAGTCAAAAAGTCGAGAGTTGCCAGTGACCGAGGAAGACATTATGATAGATAGCTTCAAGCACCAGGTCATCCATTCCGTAGTAAGGTGACCAGCTGAGGCATGCACACTTGTCAGTGTTTGTACTCTTTTGGCTTCAGCCATATGATATCTGGGTGTGCCAATCAATGCCGAGGGTTTCCAACAAGAGCAGATTAGGATCTTAAGGCCTTAACTTCTGACTTGCTATTACGAAACCTGCAGAACTTGAAGTTCAAGAGCAGAGTATTTTGCTTTGGAAATCCACAACGAAAGTCACAAAGGTGACGCGTGATGGTCCAGTGGAAGTTCCATATGAAGTTTATGGAGCAAGTGACGTAGCAGGTGCAAGTGCAAATGAGGAGCTTAATCCGAGGATGTTGAGCATGAAGTGCAGTAAATGCATCTGACTCATCAGTCTGAGGGAAAGCGGGCAAAGGAGGTGGGTGTTTGATGATAGCGAGGGGGAGATGGGACTTGGATGGGATGCTGGTAGGAGGATTGGATGTGGCCGAAGTGGACGCGGCCCGGGATGCGTCGATTGTGGAAGTCGAGCCACCAAAGTGGGTCCTTTGCTCAAAAAATCGAGTCCTTCCAAAGGGTTTCAATTCCTGCACTCTCTCCTGCCGTGCAATCTTGCCATGCGCGAATGCTTAGGATACTGATGAACGTCGGCTTAAGTCAGACAGTTGCAGCAACCAGTATGAGGAGCTCGACGATAGGCCGCCCCATTAGATGGCGGAGAGGTGCCACCTCTGCGTGTTACTTGATAAGGCCAGGTCCTGGAACAATTATGGCAACGACACCAGCATCAGGCCTAGCAGCAAGTACACTTTTGGCGGTAGATCGAAGATCTTCTGTATGACTGTTCATAGATAAACTAATGAAGACCTTGTCAATCTTGATCTCCATGGATGTATTGGCTGTGAGTCCCATATACGCCAAGGAACGCTCTATCGAAGCGTGTCTTTGTATCAGGCTGAGGGCCTCTAGGGTATGGGCAAGCACATTACGTGCGTGGGGAGACAAGTAATTAGGTAGGTAGAGTAGCAGTAATGTCCTTGCACACACAGAGAGATATGATTTGTGTAGTGAGCGACAGAATGATCCAACCTGAGGGCAAAACACGAGGGTGGGTGGGATAAACTCACCCACGCACTCTGTGTCTTGCTCTGGAGTGGAGGAGTCCTCCCGTGTGGGAAGCGAGCGGGAGCTTGTCACGCTGATGCCGATAGAGTTTTCAAGAAGTGGTGGGTGGGGAAAAGGAAGAGGGCCGGCGACTGTTGTGGTTGAAAAAGAGTGAGTGATTTCTACCTACACTGTCACACGCCCATGCCCTGATCCTTCACTCGTTCCTCGCTACATTTCAGGGCAAAAACTTCACGGTTTACTCGGATCGGTGCCAGAGCCACCTTCAATTGTCTTCGCAATCGCCCCCTTTCTCTGAAAGGAGATGAGTGGGAGATCTCTCAAAACTGACAAAGGCGCCAAGTTTTACAGAAGGCGAACTTGGAAGTGCAACTTCTCAACCGAATCATTCAAACTTAGGGCAAGTTCTTTGTTATACACTCAGCTGATAGGTTTTGGGACTCACTTTTCTTCAAGGAGCCCTCCGATCACTGTGACGTTGACTTATGATACCTTGTATTATTACGATGCGGTAGACTCTAGTAGTAGTTTTTGTGCTTTGATTCATAAAGGGTGTTGACTCGGAACTTATCTATCATCATTGGTGGGTTTGTTGATCAAAGATAATATTCAGTGTATTCGGTCTATACCAACTTGAAAGCTACACAACTCAACTGCACTCACTGCCACCAAATCCTTCAGGATGCTTGGCAAGCATGCGCAAAGAATTGACAAGCATGCCGCAAGCACATTGCGCAACGACATGTAAGAATTCTTTGACAGGGACACCAGGTTTCAGAATAGAGTCAATCCCGGTCAGAACTTCTGCCAGAGTAAGCTGGGGCATGATTTGACCGTGGCCTATGATATAATGTTAGGCAGTTTGAATTAGTAGAAGCAGCAGTACGCACGGTGTGGACAAGTCTGGCATTTGTGCAAGGAGAAAGCCCTACGGGATGTGAGAAGACCGCAATCACAGAGGGAAGCCAAAGAGAGAAAGTCTTCGACAGGAACGCCAGGCCGAATGGCTGAATCGATTGCATGGATCATTGCAAAGAAAGAAAGTGGTTCACTTCTAGGCAGGTTCCAGACTACAATATTGGCTGTGCGAAGAGCTGTCAAAGTCTCTCAGCGAACAGTCAAATCCTATCATAAGACTTAGGGCTGTTACCAAATTGCCGGCGAATATAAATTCTGGTCTTCGTTGAAGTTGACTTCCCCACATCCGATATCATTCCTACCGTTACATGGGGCACATCTCCGCAAGATGTTGTCGCAATCACTGACATTGTCTGGAGCGGTCATTCCCACACGGGCACCAGCCTCGACTCTACTCATAGTCCAACTGCTCATACGAACCTCCATGTGAATGATGACGACTCGGTTATGGACATCTCAGATACTTCAAAGCATAGATGCCTTTGAATTGCGATTGAAGCCTCTAAATTTGACACAGTGCAAACGGCACTTGCAAATGCAATCTTTCAGACTGGCAAACCCCGAGGAACTAATTAATGAACCTTGTCAGCTTGAGGAGATGCCAAGTAACTTGCCTTGGATCAATTGAGCCTGCCTGCACGTCTCTAAATTGGCTTGAAGAACTTAAAACAAATCAAATCAATAAAGGCCACGAAAACAAATCAATTGCAAGATGTAAAATACGGTACTCAGCACTTCAGTCACCCACCTTGAACAAGCTATTAGCCTTGTAAAATGTAGGAACCTGCTGATTGACTATGTCTGGCATGGCGTGGTTCGTTCCGCTTTCCGACTCCATTTGGGTTGCGATGACCACTTTAATGGCTGCAGCGTGTTTGTACAGAGCTTCTGTGTGTTCAGCTGAACTCGGGGTCTCAAAAAAGTCTTCTGGATCGTGTATCGTACCAATCACCTCTCCCCTACAGATGTATCTTGGTTGATTGGTGGGATTGGCAATTGGAACCCAGGGATTGTGTGCTGAGATCAGAGTGTTAGGTACGGCAAAATAAGAGTCATTTGTGTTTGCTAACAGACTCTTCTGTACCAGCCAGTCTTTGCTGTTGTCGAATTGTCCCTCGACTCAAACATGACAACACACGTGTGGCTTCAGGATACAGTCTTCTGCTGCCCAAACCGTCTTCTCTTCTATGCCAAATTTGAGTTTGCGGTGGTGCCTTCTGGCTTTCTCATGACAATGGACTTTGGCCTTGGCAAACTTGCCGACCAGCAAGGTGCTTTGTCTCAGCCTGTCGAAGTCTGGGGTACGACTGATGTGCACTGCAGAGATTTTGTGGTCTGTGTCTGCAAAGCGTAACTTGGTCCCTGTCTCAATGTTCCTGGTGACTCTGAGTTCATAGGTTAGCTGGTAGTCTTCTCCCAGAAGTATAGGCACTGCACTTCAGTCACCCACCTTGAACAAGCTATTAGCCTTGTAAAATGTAAGAATGTATCCAGGCTAATAGGTTGTGTGGCCGTTTATTTTTTTGCCTTTGGGAGAAAATATAATATTGGATTGGGTAGAAAATATTTGACCTGTAATATTGTGACCAGAAATGTTTGGGTAGATAAATTGTGTTCAAAAATATCCTAGTCAAGTGAAAGTGGTCAGAAATATTTGAAGGGGTTCAGACTGGTAAGAAATGTTTGAAGTGTGTCAGACTGGTAAGAAATGTTTGAGCCAAGTCTAACTGGCCAGAAATGTTTGAAGTGTGCCAGCGTGGCAAGAAATGTTTCAGTGGTGTGACATCAATCAGATATATTCTAAGCATGTCACACTGTTGAAAAATCTTTTAGCCTTGTCACATGGCTCAAACATATCTGACCAGTGTCACAGGGGTCCCAGTTTCAAGAAAAAAACTTGTTTTTTCTGGTGCAGTTTTCTCATCATTTTGTACATTGCTTTTTTTTTCCCTCAAAACTCATCTAAGTTTGTTCTCACCAATGCCCCACTTCTATCTGCCATTTTCACCACTCTAAGTCTGTTTTCACCAACATCCCACTTCTCTCTGTCATGTTCACACCACTCTAAGGTTGTTTTTACCAACACCCCACTTCTCTCTGTTATGTTCACCACTTTAAGTCTGTTTTTACTAACATCCCACTTCTCAACTCAACCAAGTTAGCATCCCTTAGAGCCTGTTCAGCAACCAGAATCTGGTTCAATTCTTTCAGATTCTTGTGACACGATGTGACCTCTCTCGTGATTTGTTGATGGCATGGCAACTGGCAACAACCGTGGACTGTATTCAATGTTGAGCAACACCCTCTTGTTATCATTCCCCTTAAGATTACTACAGAAAGTGCAATGAAAATATTCATTGATTTACATGTACATAATTTAGAGTAGTATTGACATGAAAGAAAACTAAAAGAAATAGTGGAAAAGGAAGTGAACTGCTGTGCTCATCATTGGCTGTGACAATGGGAAGGCAGTTGACAGCGAGTGTTGCGACTATGTTGTGACAGGGTTCAGAAGAAAATAGATTCAGAGAGATCCGTAAAATTGATGGCTTACCTAAAGTCACAAGACAGAGAATCTGAAAGAATTGAACCAGATTCTTGTCAGATTCTGGTTGCTGAACAGGCTCTTAGCAGCTTTCCCCTATTGTTTTCACCAACACCCCCCTTCTATCAGCCATGTTCACCATTTAAAACTCAACCAAGTTAGCATCACCCAGCAGCTTTCCCCCACTGTTTTCACCAACACCCTTCTATCTGCCGTGTTCATCATTAAAAATAAACTCAAACCTTTCTTAACCTGTCAAAACTATCCAAAGATTCATAAAGATTTCTTAGTTTGCAAAACCATTTCTTGCTTCCAAATATTTAGTTAAAAGAATTCTTCACAAGCTAAACATTTCTAAATACAACAAGAAATTTCTCACCAAGATTTCTTGTCAATACAAACATTCTGAAGAAGATTTCATGAAGATTTCATGTCAGTACAAACATTTTGAAGAAGATTTCTTATCCAGTCAAAGATCTTGAACTTGTAAACATTCC